GACTCCAGCTTCCACTTCTATAAAATATAACTGTTGGACAAGGCACACCATCTACCTTCTCTAAAATTCTGTGAGTATCTCCTCTCTGCATTTGGGTCAACTGAGCACGTACCTGGGTCAAGATATCAATATTAGTGTGTCTTCCTTTTTTATTTTCTCAATTGTTTCTTTCATTTTTAAAAAAGTCATAGCAGTACTTTGCTCTGAATCTTACTATGGCATATTGTCCTGGGGTGTCAAAGCCTTCTTTAGGGAAGGCACACTAAACATGTCACGTGTCTTTCCCTGTGTGTTTCTATTCATAGAATACCATTCAGCATAGAGGCTCCCAGCCCATATTCAAATGTTCTGATTTCCTAAATAGTATGGGAGCAGTGAGAATGGTGATGACTTTCATTTAATGACCTCCCTTCTTTTGTCTATTTCTACTGTCAAAGAATACCGGGGGTGCCAAAAAAATGTATACACATGACTTGTGTTCATCTTTTGTTATTGGTATATTCATTACAATTTTAATACAGTTTTTTCCTTTCTTAAAATGTGTATACTTTTTTTGGCACCCTCTATATATTTCTCCTGATTGGGTGTCCAGTGAGGACAAAGCAGAAGGAGGGGCTTTGCTAAGTGAGGAGCTAAAGGAGGCGGCACCTTATTTCACCCAGATGAGAAATTTATGTTAGGGCTTTATGTCTTGTCTATTAGCCATAAGATTGAAATACAGAAGGAAGATGGTTGGCTTGAGGACAGATATTAACAAGTCAAGTTGAATTGATAAATGAAGTCAGATGGCAAAATGCACTAGTTTCTTTTTATTCCTTTTTTTATTCTTAAATGTAATTATATACAATTATGACTTAGATAGCTAAGAAACCCTGAATTACAGTAAAGTAAAGCCTAGTCATAGATAAAATAGTATAAAGGCTTTAATTAAATGTACCTAACATCTATTTTTCTTTTTCTGCTAATTGGGTTAACCCTCTCCTTTGTAATAGGAGATATCTTCCATTCATATATTTAATTTTGGTTTTGGGCAAAACATTTTTGTTATGACTTCCATGCTCTTCTACAATTATAGGAAATGTTCACACCCATTGCAACATTATGTATTTATTTTATCCTTTAAAAACTATCACTACTATAAAATAACTCAAAGCTAAGAACACTATTTTCCTATGCCAAACAATATTTTTAGAATTGGAAAAGATCTCAAAACTGTCTATAGATATCATATGTATTTAGTTTTTATTTTATTGCTGCATCTCTTGTCAGATTATGCTGGGTGGAGTATTTCTGCTAATGGTCCCTAAATTCAAACTTCAAGGCATTGGAGGCAGGGTATGCTTATAGAAGGCAACATATGCAAATTGGTCGAAGTTCCAACTTGCATGGCTACATTTCTGTGGCACAAAAAAGCTCTCTATTAGCAGATTACTATACGGGCCATTTTCTCAAATTTTCAGTTATTTTACTTTATCTCAATTTTGAAATTTATGTTTTTGCACCAGGGCTTGTTTTTTTGTTTATTTGGTTTTTTTAATTAACCACAAAAGTTTATTGAAGGGATCAATGCATATATCCCTTCTAAGAAATGCCTTAAGCCATTCACTTGATGGTTACGAACACATCAGAATCTGTTTTATTGGTATTTTTTGGTTTGCTTGGCAAGGGAAAATCATGACCCAAATTCAAAAGTCCTGATTTTAAAAGTCTATAAAAAGGGAGCATTAAACACTGCCAGCCTTACTATGTCAGGAAACAATGTACAATTCAAATCAAGACAATTCCAAACAAGCCCAGCAAGGCAAGTTGGCAAGTGGAAGTGAAATACTCTGTAGGCTATCTTGGTTTTAAATGACTTGATTTTAAATTACTAAACATCTCTTGGATGTCAAATTGATAAGTATCAATTTGAGTTTCTGTAGCAAGGGTCCACAGGCACAGTGATAAATTACTGTCTGGAGGAGGTAAATGAAATTCTGAGATGTGCCTAAATCATGTCATAAGAGGAACCACAAAAGGAAATTAAGGCTGGTGATGAAGATATTAAGGGTGACTTTTTCAGTGTACTTAAGGACTGTGTTAAGTACAGAACAGACTATTCGGAGGTTTGTTTAAGCTTTAAAAATTAATAATAAATTTTATAGTTATAGATTAAAAATCGTAGTTTTTCCATAAGCTTTAAAATTTAGCTTACAAATCTTAATTATAAACCAAACAAAGTTCTACAATCACTTGTAAGGGTCTTTGACTAATATTTGGTTATATTTATAGATTTGTTAATTAAACATCTTCAAACATTTGATACTGCACTTACATATTTAATATATTTCAGTTCTTTTTTT